TTCTTGGCATGGAGATAATTAGAGATAGACGTTCAAAGAAACTCTGTTTATCTCAGAAAGAATGTTTGAAGAGAGTACTATAACATTTTGGCATAGATGACAAGACTAAGCGAGTTAGTACTCCACTTGCTCCCCATTTTAAGCTAAGTACTACTATGTCGCCAATGGATGAAGCTGAACGAGAGTATATGTCAAAGGTACCATACGCAAATGTTGTTGGTAGCTTGATGTATGCAATGGTTTGCACAAGGCCTGACATTTCACAAGCTGTTGGAGTTATTAGCAGATATATGCACAATCCAGGGAAGGAGCATTGGCAAGCTGTGAAGTGGATTCTACGGTATATTCATAATACTGTAGATGTCGGGTTAGTTTTTGAGCAGGAAGACAATCAGTTTGTAGTTGGATATTGTGACTCAGATTTTGCGGGTGATATGGACAAACGAAGATCAACTACTGGTTATGTGTTTACTTTTGCAAAGGCACCAGTTAGTTGGAAGTCTACTTTGCAGTCAACAGTTGCTTTGTCTACAACAGAGGCAGAGTACATGGCTATTACAGATGCTGTGAAAGAGGCAATTTGGCTTCAAGGATTGCTAAAGGAGCTTGGTGTTGAACAAAAAGGTATCACAATTTTTTGTGATAGTCAAAGTGCTATTCAATTAGCGAAGAACCAAGTTTATCATGCAAGGACGAAGCACATTGATGTTCGGTATCATTTCGTACGAGAAATCATAGAAGAAGGTGGAGTCACGGTGAAGAAAATTCATACTACAGAGAATCCTGCTGATATGCTGACAAAGGTGGTGACTGCGGTCAAGTTTCAACATTGTTTGGATTTGATCAACATCGTTGAACACTGAAGATTGAAGATGAAGACACAACCAAAATTTGTTATAGAGAGAAAATTGAAGACGTGGAATTTTTGCCAAGATGGAGATTTGTTGAAATGTCAAAAATTTCAACGTCCCACATCGGTGTGTTAGCAAAAATGGATAGGATTTTTCCCTATAAAAGGAGGCCTAATGTTTAGGATTTAAACACAGCTCTCATTTGCCTTCTTATCTTCTTCAGACATTTGTATCTTCTCTCTTGAGTATTATTTCACTTGTATTTTTGGAGTGGAATAAAATATTGATTGTGTCCGACGAGTAAGCAAAATTAGCCGAACCTTGTAAATTCTTGTGTTACTTTTATTGTTGCTTTATTGTCTTATTTATTATTTGGTGGCTGTCATAATTTTTGGTATAGTAGTTGTGACTTATTCACACTNTTGGAGTGGAATAAAATATTGATTGTGTCCGACGAGTAAGCAAAATTAGCCGAACCTTGTAAATTCTTGTGTTACTTTTATTGTTGCTTTATTGTCTTATTTATTATTTGGTGGCTGTCATAATTTTTGGTATAGTAATTGTGACTTATTCACACTATATACATTTGGCTTCCGCAACAACTAGAAACTAGAGAGTTGGTTCTGGGAAACTTCATAATTTTGGAAATAATGAGGGGAATTGACCAAAATATATAAAATCTCAGAGGAGGAGTCTATAATTTTTACTATTCACAGCGCGGCGGAGGACGGCGGTGATGAGGCCAAGGCTTGTCGTCGGCGAGTTCTTCACGGGTCGGAACTCGGATCCGGTGAAGTTTGGAACTCAATCGACTCAAGATTTGAGAATGAAGTCAGAGGTCAGTCATGCTAAGTGATTTGGTGTTAAGACGATATCGTTTATTGTCGTGAAGATTTTTCTGGAATTTGTGATTCATACAGCGTCGTTTCAGACCGGGAATGACTTGCGAAAAAAGGCTGCTGAAGAGGTTATGCTGTTTTGACTATTTATTTACTTCCTTTGTCTTATCACCGTCGATTCTTGTTTTATATAGGGTCTTTGTGTAATTTTGGAAACGGGGAGTTGACCTTAACATATTATACTCTTGCGCTCGGTGGGGGTGTTTAAAATCTTCATCCTTTCCCACCTTGATATCTCCACGTTAAAAACATTATCAAATCAGCTGTTACATATAATAACACTTCTATGTTGCATAACAATGAATTTCACAATACCGATACAGTAAAATTTTAAGTAACTTCGAAACAAACATTATATTAAAATAACAATATATACAATATTAAGATATTGTATTAAGATATATAGCCTTGGCCCCGGGGACCCTTTTTATTATCTTTTGAAACAAAAAAGGGAGTTGACCTTAATATTTATAGTACATTGTTGGAGGAGGTATCTGTAATTTTCACCTTAATATATTACAGTTTTCTGACAACTCCATAGTTGTCTCTCAATCTCTTTCATTTGTCACAACTCCGTAGTCATCTCTCTCTCTCTCATCTTAATATATAGTGTAATGGATAGCAAGGTTACTCAGTTACAGAAGGCCGAGATGGAGGCTATTCTTGGGCCTGACTCAGAGCCATTTGAAACATTTATTTCTGATCACATAGACAGCTCCGAGGAAAAAGATTCGGAGGCTAAATCCATATTTAACATGATGAAGCAGAAGGATCCAGAATCCCTTGCACTTAAGCTTGTTGACTATCTTGGCCCTCCCCACGACTTTTATACCCGTCAAGAGTGTGCTCTCCTCTTAAAGAAGTTGCTTAAAGATGACGACTTATGGACTTGGCACAAACTAAGTGTCTCCACTCAATCAAGCATCAAGTGTATGATCCTTGATTGTATGAATCAAGAAGAATCAGAATTCATCATTGGAGAGCTTCGTTACACTGTTTATACGCTGGCTGCTTCATCTCTTCCAGATAACAACTGGCCTGAGTTATTGCCCTTCTTTTACCGATGCGTCACTAATTCTAGTTCAAACAACTTTTTTAAAAAGTCGGTTTCTTAATATTTGCGCAACTAGCCGAGCATAGAGGCGAAAAAATTGTCCTTTGGGTAAAAGATCTGCACTCAGTATTCCGAAATACTCTGAATGATGATACCCTCGATCTCAATGTGAGGATTGCAGCCACAAAAGCTGTGATCAACTTCATTCAGTGCGTATCGAGTTCAAATGAAAAGGAGCAGTTTCAAGATCTATTGCCAGGTGTGCTGAGGACGTTGGCTGAAACATTGAGCAGCGGTGTTGACGAGGCCGCATCATGGTACGTGCTGACATTTTTAAAAGACTTGGCGAAGAATGAGCCTAGGTTCTTGAGGCGACAACTAGTGGTTGTTGTGGGTTCAATATTGGATATAGCAAAGGATGAGAAATTGCAAGAGGAGACGAGGCATGGGGCGGTTGAATTTTTGGTAAATTTGGTTGAGGCAAGCTGGGAGAAGACACCTGGGATGATGAAGAGGTTGCTCTCGTTTATTAGCAGATGTTTAATGGTGTTAGTGAACTTATTAGCCGATACAAATGATGACCCCGGTTGGCATAGTGCCGAGACCAAGTATGATAGTACAGGGACTACAAGTAACCACAGCTTTAGTGTGCACTTCTTAGAACGGTTTTCTCGTGCATTAGGAGGTAAGTCTTTTGTTCCTATTGCTAAAGAGCAGCTGTCTGCTTACTGGGATGCCCCAGAGTGGGAGAAGCGCCATGCAGCTCCCTTTGCACTTGCTCAGATTGCTAAAGGTTGCTCGAAGCAGGTACTTTGTATTAGTTGTGTATTCGTTATGGCTATATGGTTTGATTATAAGGGATATAATATTATTTCAACTCGTAGCATTTTAGAGGTGTTTTTTTCTGGCAAACTGCTTAAATGTATAAGATATATTTTGCCCCCTATTACTCTACCACTATGCTTTACACCGTTTAATTATTTGAAGTTTTCTCTTTGATTTTTTTTTCTTAGGCAATTATGTACCTCGAAATCATGACTCTTTTTGCTATAATAGGTGATGATTAAGGATCTGGAGCAACCAGTGAAAAAGGTTTTAAATTGTCTCCAAGATCCTCATCCTCGAGTCAGATGGGCTGCTTGCTGCGCAATTGACAGGTTGTCGACTGTCTACCATCCAGATTTTCAAGAACAATACCATAACCAAGTAGTTCCTGCATTAGCTGCAACTATGGATCATGTTCATCCACGAGTGCAGGTTTGTCCTATGTGATATATACTATTTAGGGATGCTGCAAGTTTCCCAAAGAATAGTTGCCAGCTAAAAGAAGATTAGATGATCATTGATACATGAAACAACTAACAAAGTTTTTGTTCTTGCTGCACGTCTACAAGGTGGTCTCATGTACCATACAGTTGAAGTTCTTTAACCTTGCCTAGGTCTACCCCTTTATTTTCTATTTTTATCCATAAAGATAATAATTGAGTATTAATATACCTTTTATATTCTAGTATATCTGATTCCTAAGAATCTTGGGCTTAAAACTAAATATTCCACAACTGTCGGAGTTGGCTCTTTATTGATCCACTCATCTTATTGCATTCTGCTTGATTTCTTGATGTAATTTTGAGATTACTCTAAGAAGTCTCTTCACTATATATTGCTTCATTTGCTTAGTCGCAACACTTGTTACCAGTTGGTCCTCAACAGTCACTTTTGCTTTTCTGCAACATGACACAAATTAAGGATGTATTGTGTAACATCCCTTCTAGAATTTTGTAATACAAACATTTATTGGCTTCGGCAGTGTGTTTCTGAAAAATCTATTTTGTGACTTTATTTTATTTGCAATAAGATCTTTCTTCTGACTTACAAGAACGTTGAATGATTGTAATAAACTATGAGATTATAGGGGAAGTAATTATTACTAAATGTCAGGGAAGGTATCTAAAGTGCACCCGTAAATAAAGTTTGGAAATAAGCATAAGCCTAAAGATTTGGTAGATGTGAATCCATTCAGTTGCTGATGCCAACTAATATGGTCCTTTTACCTTTTTGGCATTTTTATAGGCATCTGCTGCTGGAGCTCTATCCTTCTTCTGTGTCCAACAAGTCAGATTTTTTGATACCTTACCTAGATGGAATAGTTAATAAACTGCTTGTACTTGTACAGGTGTGCAACTATAGAGGCCACCAAATTACGAAGGTATGTTACTTCTGACAAGTGCAAGAGACTAATGATGTCTTTTTCGGCATTTTGTTGCTTTAAATGCAGAATGGCAAACAAATGGTCCAACAAGAAGCATTATATGCATTGTCTCGTATAACTGAATCTGCTAAGGTATTAACTGGGGCTTTTATTCCTGACTAAGTTCTATTTTTGATTAAATTATCAATCATGAAGGCTGATATATTATATGTAAATAGGAGTACTTCCGGACCTATTATGACACTGTTATGCCACAGTTGAAAGCTTTCTTGAGAAATGCAGATCTTACATCCGATCTCATTCTTCGTGCCAGAGCGATAGAGTGCATGAGCTGTGTTGGGTCTGCTGTTGGCAGGGAGAAATTTAGAGAAGACGCAGAGCAGGTCTTCTTCCAACTATGCCCAGTACTGAGCTTCGATGCCATTGATTGAACACATATATATTAATGCCATGCTCATAGGACACATCTCTTTTAGTTCCTTACTCATGGAATACTGAACACGTATATAGATGCCATCGATTGGGGTTGCTTCGTTCTTGTTTCATTTGTTATGCTTTGTTTCATGGCTTTACCGTGGTCAAACCATAATATAGATTACTCTTGTTTGAGTTACTATTTCTTTCAACAATTATGTGCAACAAAACGTATGACAGTGATATCTCTCCGTTATCTCTTGGCATTCTTTTTCTTGTCTTGGCCTGTGCTGGTGTCACAATTATAGAGCTTACTTTTTTCTGTTGTCATTAAAGGTCATCAAAGTGATTATGATATCATTACAAGGAATACAAACGAAGGGGGATGATTCTCCAACTGAATACTTGCTAAGGGTATGTGTAAATTACTTCATTTTAAGATCAAATTTCTTTCTAGATTGGCCTCTTTTTATTTTCTTAATTTCATTGCAGGCATGTGCTGCAATTTGCGATTGCCTAGGACAGGATTTTCTTCCTTATATCCATAAAGTCATGCCCTTTTATTCAATGTGCTCAACTTGAACCTGCTATAACCATCTCTGTGAAGCGGAACCAAGTTGCAGCCTGTTTTATGCTATGCCTCTTCGCTGAGACATTAAAGGGAGACTTCTACCCATGGGTTTCCCAGGTTGGCCTGAATGATCATCTGCACGTTTTCGTTTTTGTCATGTGCTGTTGAGTGATGTCAAATTAAACAGGTCATATCAATGGCTTAATGCATTAAACAGGTTGTTCCAGTCTTTATTCCACTTCTGAAATTCTATACCCACAATGGTCTCAGGAAATGTGCTGTTATTTGTGAGAATTCTCGTGATTTCATATGGTTTTTAATTTTCTAATTTTTCAATTGCTGAAGCAATTTTCTAAATTTTTGCTGTTTAAGCCATGTATATTTTGTTGCGTTCTGCTAAACTAGCTGTTGAGAAAGGGATCGCACAAGGTGCAAGTGAGACATATTTCACAAAGTTGTCAGACCATATAATGCAGTCTTTGCTAGATGCTTTGCATGAGGTTGTTCTTGACCTATTATTTTGCTTCTTTTTTTTTATAAATTATTTTGGTTCGGAGATTGTTTAACTTCGGTCTATTTGGATAAAAGAGAAGTGACACTTGACTTGTTATCTCATGCAGGAGCCTATGACGGATATATCTGCAGTCATGTTGAGTACATTGAACAATTGCCTGCAGGTTCGGTTATGTCGAAGACAATTTCCTTAATATTCTTGATCCAAGTTTGCATTTTTTCCTACTGTGGTGGTATGTTGCCTTTTAATTTCTTATGTTCCAACTTGATCATAATGTTGGCCTTTACGTAATCACACAGTAAATAACTCCAATTTCTTTTCCTTCAATAGAGATCTACAAAAACACTCAGCCAAACTCATATCAGTTATATTATACCAGAAACAAAGAAAGCTTAGTACATCTCTTATAAAGAGGAAGACATGGGAACAAAGAGCACGCGATGGCTTGCATGCTAATATGTTCAGGGGATCAAGTAAAGTAGGAGCTCCTTATTCAATTCTTACTAAGTGTGCATTTATACCTACAGTTTACAAAGACATGGTCAAACTTTATAAAATTCTTAAAAAATTGAAATGTGGAATCAAATTTATGACAGATAGGGAAATCACAAAAGTTATCTTGACCAGGTAAGACTAGTGAGTCTGACAAACAGCTTAGTAACTTTGTATTAGATCGACTCCATTGGGAAACTTCTTTCTAGTAAACCCCCTGTTAATCCAGCTTCTAGCTATTGCTTGAAATGTTCTATTAGTATTATAAAAGCGAGAAACAGCAAGAGTGGCAGAAAGTGAGTTAGAAGAGCAAAATAGGATTGTCATTCTTGTCCTTATGTTTCTTCTTTCAGATCAGTCCACTTCTCAATGAAGGTCAGCTTCGTAGAATAGTGACTGAGGTAAGGCATGTCATTACAGAAAGTTCAAACAGAAAACGAAAATTCAAAGAGAGAGCTAAATCAGAAGACTTTGATGCTGAGGAGGGAAAAATGGCAAGAAGATCATATTTTGTGGCAGGTATGTTCCATTCTAAGAATGAAGTTCAGATATAAATGACACCCTGTTGTACTCTTTATGCAAGCTTCACTTTGATTCTACTTTTACTTATCGAATAACCTGAGCTTTTTCTTTTATCAGCTTTGTCGAATATTAAAAACATTGATCAAAATGGTGAAGGCAGCATTCTTGCCTTTCTTTGACGAGCTGGCATCATTTCTGATTCCTTTGTGGGTGAGTTCAGGACATGATAACCACCTTCATTCTAACACTCTACTTATTTATTCATATCTTTATCTTAATTTTTTAATTTACATTTTGAATTTTTCCTGCTTCTATGAAGGGCAAAGATAAAACAGCTCAAGAGAGATGTGCACCAACTGTTATCTTTGCTAGCCTAGTGAGGGAGTGCCCTGAAGCGGCTCTAAAGTGGGTTTGTGTGTATGAGTTTTTCTTAAATGGTTGGGATTACTGTTTTGATAAAAATTATTTCCTTTGTCAACTAGGTACTGTGATATATTTCTACCTTTGTTTTTGGATGCAAGCAATGACGAAAATCCAAGAGTTAGACAGGTTTGACTATCTTAGTGGTTGCTGTCAGGTTCTTTATTCTAGTTGCTCACGATATCATTTAACCAAACACCATCGATGACGTGTCCAGAATGCTCTTTATGGGCTTGGGCTTTATGCGGAATATGGTAGTTCTGTTTTCAAACCTGTTGTTAAAGGTATAATACCGTTGAATATGATATTGAGATCCTTCTCATTATGAAAAGTGGATGAAAAATGATACTACATTTTTGTACTTACTACTAAATCTCATGACATGATTCAGAGGTTATTTCAAGGATCAATGTAGTGATAATGCATTTATGCGCTCGTGAACCTGAGAATGAATGTGCATATGATAATGCTGTTTCTGCACTGGGTAAAATATGTCAGTTCCATCGGGAAAGTATCAACTCGGCCCAGGTTTGTCCTTCTTGAAATCCCTAACATTTATTTGTCTATTCTTTCTTAAGCCTACAGGTCATATATGCTTGAGTTGGAATTCTGATATTTAAGGTGTACCTTTAGGTCTTAATTGCAAACTTCCTTGCATGCATCAAATAGTTTGAGAGCTGCAATTATTTTTTTATGGTTCATCCTAATCTTTGTCTCATAGCCGCTGATTCAGTTCGATAAGTTAAATTGCACTAGAATGGGAATATAGTAATGTGATGACCTTCTTCATTATTATACACATGGAGACTTAAAAGAGGTTCCAGTAATTCCTGTCTTATTTATTTATTTGTTTATTTCATCCTTTATTTGAAAAGTGTCTACTTAACCCGACCAGAATATTTATATACTATGCAACTTAATTTGATAAATAAGGTAATTAATGATTGGTATGCTTGTACTTTCCACGTTTCCTAAAAATTAGTTCCTAATTGCTTCAGTGTTGCCATTTCCTTAGTTATTAAGCCTTTTTTATTTTCTCTCTTTCTGTTATTCTCCGGACTATTTAATACACTGGTACTGATACTCCGTGCAGAGTCCTTTTCCTTCATTTCATTAAAAGGGGAAAAATATCTATTACTATACATGTATACTGAGATTCCTCTGTTTCCTTTTTAAGTTATACTTGCTAATGGAGATCCCTTTGAGTTTATTTCCTTTTTGACCTACTCCTTTTGTCTCATATTGTGTGACAGTAATTGACTTGTCTAGAGTTTGAAATGTTCATTTGACTTATGGTAGTGGAAGAGAATATTACTCCAACTAATAGTCGAAAATCTAGTTTGGTTGATATAACATCGTATGACGTATCAAAAATTTAAAAATTTAGTTTTAAATGAATTTGAAATCTACAAAATTGTGAAAGTTGTATGGTAAATATTATTAGTCAAATGGTGTCAAACATTTTAAGATGCCCTTCAGATAAATTGGGTTGGAGAGAGCATTTGATTTAGCCTTACCTTAACATAAGATACTTTACTAAGCTCAAAAGTGTTTAAAAAAGGAAAGAGAAGAAAATACTCAAAGACACTTTTACATTTTCAGTACCTTTTAAGAAGACTGCAAACAATTGCTAACATGGTCGTTGGTGCAATTGTTTGTGCCTTTTGTTAATACCTTCTGATAAGAGTCTGTTTCATTGTGCATGCGCTCACATGTCGAAATATGGTAAAGCGTATAGCTTTTGATCTTCATAGATAAAGTGATGTTCCTGCAATGTACTATTTAACCTTGCTATAATTTCTTCACAATTCTAATTCCAAATCCTTTGGTAGATTATTCCGGTTTGGTTGAATTGCCTGCCTATAAAGGGTGACCTGGCTGAAGCCAAATATGTTCATGGCGAATTATGTTCGATGGTTGAAAGGTACTGGATTAGTTTGTTCTAGTTTCATTCTTATCTGGTTTTCACTTTACTAATTTAAATCTTTGGTTTTTATCTGTTTCACACATTTGTTTTGTAAAATTAGAAAAGGAATGATTACAAAATGGCGACATATGATTAGAACTTTTCCCTGTAAATGAAATTACAAGCGTTCTTAGTGCTAGCATGTTTTTTGATTTCACATATCGGTAAAACTAACTAATCATGAGCCAAACTAACTCTTGAAGTATTATTTAGCATTGTAACTAGTTTACAAGTTTGCAACAGTGCAACAACAACAACAACAATAACTATGACTCAGTCCCAAGCAAGTTGGGGAAGTTTATGACAATAATTGCAACAATGTTTATATTATATGTTTTAGAAATATTTCATTAGGATGTGCAATTCCAAGTGTAGGCTTTCGTGATAAGAGATCACCAGTTGCCTTCTGATGTATATTAAGTATATGATCTTTGTAGCATTTACAAGCTCTCCTGATTGTAGCAGTTAATGAGTTTTTAGTCTTCAATGTTTCACCAAATTTTCTCATTTGCAGGTCAGATATAGAACTTATTGGTCCCAGCTATCAATACATTCCAAAAATTATTTCGGTTTTTGCAGAGGTTAGTTTGAAATCAGAACTATTAGATACTAGATTAAGTTGTTCATTCTTGACTGACATAAAATTTCCCAAGAAGCTTACAGGTATTACTAATGTACTGGTAGAGAAGGAGGTAACCCTCACAATAAGAGTCTCTATCTTGCCTAGGCTGTTATGCTATTTTGGATTACTTAGTAATCTCCAATATAGCTCATTAAAAAAACATAAAAAATGCATTGGAAATCTTATAAAACGTTAAAAATTACATTTGTCACTATTTCATGTTTTTGTTCTACTTTTTTTGCATACTAATTTGAGTATCAGTTCTATAGCAGAAAATATAGTGTTAATAGCATCTAAAGTAGAGAGGTAAAAAGAAGTCCACCTACAGTCAAACCTCTCTATAACAACATCGTTTGTTCCAAAATTTTTCGGCTTTTATAGTGAATGGTTGTTATACACTTATAACAGCATTTGACATTTAAATATATTTTGGCTGTTATAGACAAAAATTATCCAAAAACTAATTGTTTTTCTTTATAATATTATATATAAAAGATTAATAAAAATTTTAAATTCAAAATATCGAAAGATATAAATATTTCACGAATTAAATGCTAAAGAAATCTAATACATTATTAAAAAATTCTTAACTAAATGCACAAATATTTAAACTCTAAGGCACACAATAAAAAAATACGAATAGATTACCTTTACATATTATTGGTAATTGTCCAATAAAAGATATATCATGTGTACATCTTCAAATGAAAAAAGAATGATATGCATATCTTCAAAAAGTATAAATAGATCTTTTAAATATCTTTTGGCATTTTTCTAATGCAAGATATCATTTGTAGATCTTTAGTTATAAAAATATTTGATGTGCATATGTTCATGGAACATATTGCTATCTTTAAGATAATACATATAGCTATTATAAGTTGTACATTAAAATTATAAAATATTTGCTTAAATATTTGGAATTATTATTAGTAATAATCTTAGAAAATCTGCATGGCTGTTATAGAGGGGTAACTTTACAAAGAGCGTATTGTCATAAAGATGGTTGTTGCTGTTATAGGCAGAATGCTATTATAGAGAGGTAAAATATAACATAAAAAATCGGTTCTGAGAAAATCTAGGCTTTTATAGTAAATGACTGTTATATAGAGATGCTGTTATAGAGAGGTCTGACTGTAATACTTTTCAAGCATCCAATGTTAAATAACATTCTCGTGTTCAAATCCCCTTTGCTTTAAATTTCATCGAGATGGTTGACTGATTATATTGTGGATGTTGCCGGTGTGAACGTATCATTATATTGTGGATGTTGCCTATTAACCAAAACTTATGTATATATAAACATTCGATAATTGAATGTTACTTTTTCTACAGGTTCTATGTTCTGAAAAAGATCTTGCTACAGAAGAAACCAAAAATCGCATCATTAATATATTAAGGCAGCTTCAGCAAACTCTACCATCAGCCACCTTGGAATCAGCATTGACATATCTTGTACCTCGGCAGGAGATGGAGTTGAAATCAATTCTATCACCTGAAGAGGATGCTGGCTTTTAATCAGTACAGTGAAACTACTAGTCCGAGGATCAAACATCTGATGCTCAATATTCCTGTAAAAATCAATTATTTGGAGTGAAGCTCTATATTTGCCTACTTAAAGGGGAACACTTGGAAACATGAACGGTGGAAACTTGTGTGTCTGTGTGTTTATGTGTAACATGTGTATAACAAAGCAAGTCCTTTCCTCAATAAGGAAATAGGTGTAAGTTATAGCTTGTGAGAGTCTGTTACTTAGATAGCTTTGGTGGTACCCTACCACTGCCCTAGAATCTTCTCTTTTCTAAAAGGGATTATTTTTATCAATAGTTTATATATAAATTATTTTTGCCCTATTTATACAGGATAATTTTCTTTAATTGAACCCTTTGCTATGCATAGCTCCACCCCTGATTGGTTTCATCTAATGCCACTTGCATATTAAAGAATATAGGTTAAGACCCTAGCTACGACCTTACTTGAACAAGATCTGTTGTTTAGGCTCGTACCACTGTATCCTTGAGTTCTAAGGAGACAGGAAATCAAGTTTGGGTACCTTTTATAATTTTGTAACCAAAAAGAGGAGTTGACCTTAATATACATAATATTGGAGAGGTATCTCTTCCCATGTCATTGATTTCCGCGAGTAAAATGTTCTGTAGTGTCCTTGATCTTACTTCATTGCCCTAATGTTACTATCCTCTGGTTTAAACTGGGACTTACTCCATATAGTTTCCTATTTAGTTTAGACATTTCACCGGTCTTATTTCTCAAAGCACTTATCATCAACCCAAAACACGCAACCATATTCCAATCCTTTCTATCTATGAAATAAATACTATTAGGTTAACCATAATAATATTTCAATGGACAAACGAATCCTGTTGAGACAGATAATATTATTTTTAAAGCTGCCGAATACCAATGTATGTTAAATGGAAGTTTTCCCAAAATGTGCAATTTGGCTACAAAATTTTATTAGTGTGTAAATTTTGTAAAAAATCCAAAAATATGCAAAATGTATATGTGAAATTCGATTTACATGCGTTTTAAGTTAACTGAGGTAATAGACGGTCAACGAAACGACGTTAGATTAAATCGCATTTTAGAAATGCAGCTAATAAAGCTATGTTATATAGATGGGCTACCCTGTGAAATAAAACGGGCACCAAGGAAGATTGCCTCAACGATCAGTGCCTGCTGCTAGGAGGCATTCTTCATAGAGAAGAGCCCTGAGAATAACTGATAAGGTTTTGCGCGTTGTATCGAATTAAAAACTCAAACTTTCTATTCTATCTCGGACCCAGCTGCTACTGAGAAAGTATCAGGAAATACGAAGGTTCAAGAGGCAAGAAAGGGATTGGATAAAGACTGGTTCCAGTAGGGGACATTTATGCCATTACTACATGATAGTAGGAAGAAGACCCCTAAAATGCTCGGTACTTTAAGGTGGGGAAACAAAGCAAGTTCAGAACATAAGGATAATGAGCTCGTCAATTATAAGTTATTAGTTTATGGAGCTATCAAATTCGTATTTCTAAAATGCAATTTATAATTCGCATTTATGAAATGCAACTTATAAGTGCCCATTCTAATAAGGATTAACTTACTTTTTAAAAATTTTAATATTCATTTTTTGTTATGTATTTTTGTGTTATTGTGTTATTTTATTAATTTATAAATTAAAATATTTAAATATCTATGGGGCTTACACCTCATGTGTCAGGACTTATATACGCCTCGGCTCGTATTAAATAAAAAGAAACGTTTTATAAAAGTATGGTACTAAATGAAAACAATAAATGAGTGAGTATATTATTCATCGAGTTTAACTAATAATATATATTTATAGTGTGAAAAATCTTTACACTAATAGTATATTTTAACTTATTGTATCAAGTAGCATGCTTATTTTTCAGATTAGTATTCTCACTTTTTATGATGTAATGTAATCTACATCTACATTATATTAAAAATACGAAGCCCTTAGCGAAAATTGTCCATCTTTTTTATCCTTTGAAATTAGATTTACATTAGATAAAATTATCATTTAAATTAATTTAAAATACTTAGGCTTTTAAATCAACTAAATTTTAGTTATTAAATCTTTCTTTATTGACCTAGCGGTAAGAATTACTAATATTTATGAGTTTAAAATCAACTAAAATTTTACCTTATATGATATAGTAATGTCCAAAAATTTTCATCCAAGCATGCATTTTGAGCTTCTTCTTTGACATGTACAAACTGGAGTTTGCTTATAGATAGTTTACCACTAAGCTTTTCTAGACAACCCAACTCTTCAATATGACAACTATTTTCAGAACTGGCATTGAAAAAGTTCAGTATTTGCAGACATGTAAGCTTTCCTATTTGACTTCGAAATAGTGTTGATAACTCAAGATAATTGATGAAGCAGAGATGTCTCTAGTTTACCAACTTTTTCATTTTACTTGGAAGCTTTTCTAAGTTGGGTATCTTCAAAATTTGCAAATGATATAATTTGGAGATGCAAGGGGGTAGTTCAGCAAATCTATTACTTAACAAATCAAAGTATCTCAAGTGAATTAACTTGAAAATTGAGTTAGGTAATGTCCTGAGGTCACCAACATCCAGAGTCAATGATCTTAGGCCTTTAGCTTTCAACAGTATGCCCTCACATCTTGTTTTTTCAGAACCAATGTGTGTAAATAATCTACTCCTCTCATTTCTTTATAACTAGCAAAACCAAAACTACGGACATGTGAGCGCAAGATGGAGTGGGCCAGATCATGCACATGATCATGCATTTTACATGAGCTTAGGTTTCCATACATATCAAATTCAGGATATTGTAATAAGGAGTGGTGCAGTAATTTATAAAATATCCATTATCTATGACTTCCATTTCGGGGTTTCCTTTTTGGAAAGGTAGTAGCTCTTCTACCATCCAAAGAATGACCATTTCTTTCCGGTCTAATTGGCAGCCTTTTGGGAAAAGGGAACAAAGAACAAAGCATCGCTTGAGAGATGCTGATGGCAACTGATCATAGCTCAACTTCAATATCTGACTAAGGGTATGTTCCGCTTTGTGTACTTGAGAAAGGTCTATTTTTAATATAGATAGCCATGCCTCTTCTCCCTGACAATGAAGAACTCCTCCAACTAGTTGTGATGCCAGAGGTAAACCCTTGCACTTTTTGGTAATTTCTTTTTTCTCCTACTTTGTCTGTTATTTATCTATTGGTTCTTTCATCTACACCTGCACCAAAAGGTAACATATTAGATCATAATTCAAGCAAAGTTCTCATCACATTAACCAGATTAAAGACAAAAAAGGGTCTAATATGTCAAGCAATATTGAGCTCATCACGATACATGGTTACATACAACCAATTTCTTGTTAATGTACTAAATAACTAATAACTTTTGATTTAAGGATTGTGATAAAATTTTCGTGACATGCTTGTCTTCCGAAGCCCTCCCATTACATCAATGGAGAGGATAAAAGAATATCTTCTTACTGGTTAGTCAAGATTTCAACTATTTAATATACACTTTTATCTCTTCCAACAAAAATTTGATCAGTAGTGAATGACACTGACTCCCTACTTCTACCTCCATAAATTGTTTGGTTGAATAAACTATTGTGTATTAATAAGAGGCCTTAAAGTTTGTATATATGTGCAAAAAGTTAGTTCTACCTTTTATTTTTTTGTTCTTATAGTTTACAGAGTGGTATTCTTACAAGACATAAACCTTTTAACTTCACAACAAACATTTATTAGTACTGTTTATTTATATTAGTAAGGATCAGTTTTGGTTAATAAAATATTAGCCATGTATTTGCGATACATTACCTTGGATCTTATTACAAAAAACTTTATTTACCAATATGAAAATTTAAGTAGTTTAATTCAAAATTCATTCTACTGTTAAAAACTAGAGAGATCGATATAAAAGATTAAAAAAGATTTAAAGTCAAGCAATGAATAAAAGAAAATAATGGTGCTTTTCAACTCATTTGATCATTCCATATGAAATTTTTTTACACCCCCCGAACTTTGCTTTAAAAATAATCTCCCCCTACTTTGAGTAATTGTCATTCTCCTCCTTATTTCGCAATTGGCATTTTAAAATACCTACTTTAACTGCTATATTATCAATATTTATCGCTTTTTTATTTTTTACTTTTTAGCTTTTTAGTATCATGATGTTTTTCTCTTTTCTATTATCTATGCTAAGAACTTACCTACATAACAACTAAATTTTATTTTCAAAATAAAAAATGAAAATTCATATTCAAGCATACAAATTAATAATGATAAAGAATGTAAAGGATGAGCGGAACAAAAAGTCAAATAAAATAATTTTCTCTTATTAATAATTTTATTAATAGCAATCAAATTTCAAAAATCTATTTATACAACCGAGAATAAAAATTTGTGAAAAGCTTATTTATATATACTCAATACAAAACAAAATTTTATAACTATTAAATAAGGTATATTTTATAACTACTACAGAGAAAATAACTTGAATATATACTTAATGCATATTATATCAAAATAAAAATCTTAAAATTATGGGTTTTCTGATAAATTTATAAAAGGACTATTCTATTTATAATTTTTATAATTTATCATAAGGTACAATATAATTTAAATTATAGGTAAAATCATAAAAATAGCATATAAAATAAAAAATTATTATAAATAAAGTTATATTCAAGGTGAATGTCTATCTTTTAGAGAGTTTTTAGAGTTTGGTACTTTGTGGCAAAGTTACTTTTCTCCTATAAACAGAGAGGTTTTATCCCATTGTAATTTATCTAAAAAATAATAGAATTTTCTCTCTTTCTTTGCAATATTCTTCTTTTATTTATTATTTTATTTTACGTTATCAGCATGAGACTCTACCGTCTCAAGAGGCTCTTTGAGAAGGCTAAGGTATAATTTTTTTCTCTTTTAATTATGACTGATATTATGAAACGAAAGTTTGCCGCTCTTGAAATTTCGGGCAAGAACTATATGTCATGGGTGTTGGATGTTGAAATCCATTAGATGCAATGGGTCTTGAAGACGCCATTAAAGATAAAAATAAAATATCTACCCAAGACTGTTCTAAGGCCTTGTGTAACGATCCGATCGGTCGTTCCGAGAGTTTTAGCCCCCCATTTCTTCTTCATTTTGTGTGGTTCAGCTCTTTTATGTGTGTTGAGTTAGTTGGATCGGGTTCGGAATGATTGTATAGAGGAATGAGACACTTAGTCTCTTAAGTTGATTATAAAGTTGGAAAAGTCAACCGAAAGTTGACTTATGAGTAAATGATCTCGGAACTTGGTTTTTATGGTTCGGATAGCTTTGCGAGGTGGTTTGG